GGGGTGGCCCTGGGGCAGGCTGCCCTTTTGGCCTTGAGAAGCGGCTCCTGGAATTACTTACTGCTCCTTGGGAGAGGGGGGTCAAGGCGAAACGATTGCTGTTAGACACTTGACCCACCGCATCCGAGTCTTTTGAGAGCAGCATGTCTGTGAATTCAAAATGGGATCTAAACTGAGGGGACCGGAGGGCAGATCAACGGAGGAGAAACTACATCTGTTATTTTTTGAGGATTTTCAGACATTTCTCAGCTGGACACAGTGAGTCTTATGTTCTTCCTTTTGGACACTCCATCTGATCCCGTGGTGGTGACAGTCAATTTCTGAATAAATACCTTTGAAGAAGGAAGACTGGAGCTGGACGGGAAGGTTCTAACCCAAGATGGGAATGCATGATGACATTTTATTGGCCCATATTCAGATTTTTTTTTTTCAGTGCTTTCAGCTCTGTGGAAAACCATGCGCATGATTTAGCTATCTCTAGGGACCAAATGTAAAAACATTTCATGAACTTTGGAAAAATCGTCCCCCAAAGCATTTCTCTTTGGTTTTAGCAGTTCAAGTAAGGATCCTCTCTTCTCCTCCCATCTCTCTTCCTTCCAGCCCCATTGTGGCAAATGAAGTAACCAGTTGCCCTCCATTCAAGAAGATAAATAGCACAGAGGTAAGGCCTTGGTGTTGTGTGAAACTTTATGGAGAGTGTTTCTGAATCTTCCTGTGGGCCGGTTGGTCGCTGGAGTATGGGAGGGGGATGAGAGGGAGGCGGTAACAATGAGGACATTTGCAAGCTCTTGGGACTGTGTAAATAAATAGCTGATAGGCTCACAGTTTCGGGAGCCAAGAATGGGTATCTGAAGTTATTTCTATGAATCTTTCTGAGGCTCTCTACAGCCCTGGGAGGCCTGTTTGAGCTGCAGTCAGCTTCCACATTAAACTGTGGTTCTGGCGCCGCCTGAGGTATGGGTTTGGGGATTGTCTCGGCTACTTACTAGCTGTGTGACCTTGGGCAAGTCACATAATGGTGCCTGACACACAGTAGGTGCTTAATGAGTATGGATCAAATGGATAAATAAACAAGTAAGCCACCTGCCTGAGCCTCAGTTTCCTCCACTGGGAAATGGGGGGGAATAAAGCCGCCCCAACAGGCTGCAATCATGTAGGTAAAACTGTTTCCTAGGACAGCTTCCTAAACTGTCATGCGTTTCACCTGAGTCACCCGGGGAGCTGCTCACATGCAGATTGTGACTCAGTAGGTCTGGGGTGGGTGGGCCTGAGTTCCGCATTTCCAACTGACCCCCAGGGGATGCTGACGCTGCCTGTGAGGACCACACTTTGAATAGCTAGGTCCAACTCTAAAATGCTCTACAAATGCCTGAGATTATGAACATCTCTTCAGCCAATGGAGTCAGAATAGACTCCAAGGATAGATTAACAATTGTCCCAGGATGGGGCCAGCCTGGTGGCGCAGCGGTTAAGTGCGCACGTTCCGCTTCAGCAGCCCGGGGTTCACCGGTTTGGATCCTGGGTGCGGACGTGGCACCACTTGGCAAGCCATGCTGTGGTAGGCATCCCACATATAAAGTAGAGGAAGATGGGCATGGATGTGAGCTGAGGGCCAGTCTTCCTCAGCAAAAAGAGGAGGATTGGCAGCAGATGTTAGCTCAGGGCTAATCTTCCTCAAAAAAAAAAAAAAAAAACACAAACCAAAAACACAATTGTCCCAGGGTGCCCTCAATTGAGGGCTTTCCTGGGACACAGGACTCTCAGTGTTAGAACCACAGAAGTCCCAGGGAGACTAGAACAAGTTGGTCACTCTAACAGGATAGTGGAAAGGAAGGGATGCTTTGGTCTGAGCTGCTGTGTGAACTGGGAAAAAAAACATCACCATAGGCGAGGGTGTTTGCTAAGGAGAGGAGCATTTTCCCACCTTAGATCAATTGGTCCCCCCTCCCCCTTATGTCACAGAGGCAGAAACAGGCTCAGAGAAGTTAGGTGACTTGGCCCCCATCACACGGCTTCTCAGGGACAGGGCTGGGGCTACAGCTCCCGCCTTCTCTCGCCCCGCAGAGCTCGGCACTTTCTCCACCACTCCACATTGCCTTCTCCAACACATTCCTCCTTATTTGGCAAACACAGCATGTTGATTTATAAATTGGCTTGTTTGGAGCCTGAAATTTGGCATAGCTGATTTTGGCTGTGAGGAGTTCAAATTTTTCCTCTCTGTTTTGGTTTGCTTAACCACGTTTTGTGAGCAAAAAATGCAAAGTAATAAAAACACAATGAGGCTGCTAAAGTGGTTCTAATACAAAGCATCCAGAAATGTGGCAGCATCAACTTAGGCAGATTTATTTTTTGTCTCTAAGTAGTAGATTAGAAACCCATGAGGTTTACTTCCAGGGATTTGCAAACCCCAAGTAAGTAAGCAGCTAGAGCCTCTTTCCACACTGCGTCTCCTGGAGCCGGGACCGGCGTCCGGAAGAGCACCCCTGATGGGCGGCTTGCAGGAGGCTCCGCCCCTGTTCCTCAGGGAAGGTCCTTAGAGAAGACGTCAGTCCTCAGGCCTAGGGTATGTGTGGTGATTTGCAGAATGTCACTCAAAATCCTTCACCCTTTATTTAGCACACAGCAGAAGTCGTAAAAGAATGTTGCCTTTTATTATTAACACTGAGAGTCCATGCAGAGAATTTACACTAAATATGTGAATCAGTGCATTTGGGACAGCTCGAGTGCCCTCAATCCCCAGATCCCTCTAATTGTGCAGTAAGTTCAGGTGGGTTTTTCTTGGGGTGAGGGGGGAGTGGAAAGAGGGAGAGAGGTTGGCTGCATTTTATCTGTGACTCTCCCTGGTGTTGGTTCTCAAGGCCAGGGAGTCTGGGTGCAGCCCGTATCCGTGCTCTGTGAAAGTCCGTTATTTGTTCCAGGACCCAGAGAAGACAGCCCTCGCCCTTCCCACAACCAAATGAGTGACCAGCTCAGGTGGTGAACACTCTGCTTTTCAAATAGTGTGCTTGGCTGGCAGCTCTCGCCGCTGTCTTCATTTAACAAACCAAGCTACAGGCTGAGCACAGCTACAGCTTCAGCCAATGTTTTTAGCAATAAAATGCACATGTGTGTGTGCATGTGTATGCACACATATACTTATGTATATATATGCCTGAATATGTATACACACAGCATACATTACACAGGAGAGCTCTAGCAAAACACACACATTTAAAAATTATTTCCCATCAGGAAGCTCTGATTGTGACAAAAGGACATTTTCAACCTCAGGCCCCAGCCTGAGACCTGAAGAAGTGACCTCCGAGTCAGGGGCCTGCTGGGGTGAGTGGGTGATATATCGGGCTTCACCCTCCCTATGGTGGGAGGGAGACGGGCAGTCAGTCAAGCTGGGAAACCCTGTCTGCTCTACCTGGAGCATTCCTGGATGCTGGGGTTGATGGCTGGCTTTATATGTACTCAAGTTCTACAGTCAGAAACCCTGGGACCTTACTGGATAAGTCCATAAGTTAGGGGCCACTGACTAAAGGAGCATGGGGTTGTGCTTATAGCCTGATCCAGGGTCCCCTCTCACGCCGGGCCTCTGCATTCCTCTTCTTAGTCCCATTTTCTTGTTGCTCTCTTAAGAGTTCTGGTGTAAAGCAGAGCCTCCCTGAGAGGTTCTGATTTCTGGGTACAACACAGACAGCTCCCAGAGCCCTGTTTCACAGGGTTGAAGCTTCCTGTCGCAGTGGTGAACTTTCACGGACCCTTCCCATCCCCCAAGTAGGATCACAGTAGCATCACATGCCCAAAGACACCGTGTGGGGAAGGCACCTGCCGCCCGCCTGCTTTCCTCGGAGATGGTGCACGCCCGGGGGGCGGAGGGGCCTGGGCGTCTGCGCGCTCCCTGTGGTTGATGGCGCGCAGTGTATGAAGTTCTACTTTGTCTTCCCGGATTGTCAGCCAAAGCTGGAGGGTTGACCATGAGACCCCTGTGTCCCCTTCTGGTCACTCACTCTCTGAGTGGGTCCCTCTCTACAGCTACCCATCTAACCTGCTCTAAACCTTGGAATAAAACTCCTGGGTCTATCTAAGAAACGCTTATCTCACGAGAGATCCTAAGGATAGCTGGGAACCAGCATTCACTCTGGGATGCCGGCTCTGTTCCTTGGGGACTGGGCTGCGTGTTTTGGCTCAAGAAATCCAGAGGCTCTGAGTGTCCAGAGGTCTCTCTTAGGGACACATCTTTAGTTCTTTTTGCTGTAAACCAAGCAGGCTACCTGCTGCCACACAGCCCCACTGCCCTCACCACTGCCATCCCAGGGGCCAGCCAGGCGCCCTGACTGGGGCCAGAGGCACCTAGTGCTATCTCTCTCCAGCTGCAGCGGTTACAGCAGAGGCTTCACCGCATTCCTGCCCCTTGCTTCACTTTCGGTGTTCTTTCCCTTCAGGAATCCAGAGCGGTTGGCAGAGCTCCCACTGGGAGGAAGCATGCTGGAGTTTGGGAATGGGACAAATGGGGCTGTGCACTGGCCACAAAACAAATGGCCCCTCTAGCCATTTTAAACACATAAAGGTCATAGATGCTTTACTGGTCGGGCAAGAGCAAAAATCACCCTTTTGCCGGCCAGGAGTGCGGGGAGCCCAGATCATTTCAGCGCCAGGCTGTGCTTCTCCCATTACGAGAGCTGTTACAGACCTCTCTGTCCATCAGAAGCTTGAAAAAGACACTATTCTCTTTGCTGCATTGTCTTTTTTCTTTCTCAAATTCAGACCCTCCCCATCTCCTCCTTGTCTGGTTTATGAAGCAAACATACATACTGCCAAGGTCTGTGCTTCCCTCGGATTGTCGTTAGCGTCCTCAGGATAAACCAAGAAGCGACTGGAAAACCATCAGCCAGGTGTTTGGATGCGTCTGGTTATTTGTGGACCCCCCACCCCCGCCTCCCGAGGCCTTGGACTTTAACTTCTTTCTTTTGCAGCGTCCCAGTGACATGCATAAAAGGACGTGACTAAGTAGAGACTGTGATTTTAACGTTTATTTGCTGCTGCTATTTTTTTCTTTGAATGAGGGCAAGCTATAGATTTTAATTTTAAATGCACTTCAGAAGGAGCCCCAACTCATCGCTGGACAGAACTCCCTTAAAACTATGTTAAGTTTGGGAGCCTAAACTCTCTGCCCCAGAAACACCCAGCAGAGTTGGGGAGATGGCAGCAACTGTCCAGGTCAAGGTTTTCCATACAAAGTCCCTCCTTCCAGCGCCAGCTTCCTCTGTCCCAACCGTTCTGGTGGCTTTGCTTCTCAACAGAATCCAAGTGAAGTTCCCTGCTGGGTAGTCTCAAGAAGCCCTCTCGTCACCCTGTTCATCTTTAATGGCTATAAAATTCCAGCTCAGAGGAGGAAAAATGCTCATCAGGCAAGCCCTGCCTTTGGAGGGACTTAGTGGCACCGCCAGAACAGGCCAGTGAATGTAACGGACACCAAACGTGCCAAGGGAATAAAGAGCTGCTGCAGACGTGGCCGCGCACAGCTCGGCTCGCCAGGCCGAGGCTGGGCCACCGCTGCGTGACGGCTGAGACGCGGGCGGCACACACGTTCGATGCAGAAGTACCCGTTCTCAGCAGATAGGGCAAGTGGAGGAGCGAAGCCTTGATGGAGGGCTGGGGGAGTCAGACCTGTGTGTAACAGTTGGGAAGAACTCCTTCTTCAGACTCCTGGAGACACAGAAGCTGGGGCTGAACACACAAACGAATCCATAGCCACGAGGACCAGCTCTTGAGTCTATGGACCCTGGCACACGGTGCCCCAATCTAGAGTTTAGTTCTCTTGTGTCGTATGCAGGGTTGTTGGGTGACCAGGACCGGGTGGGAGGGGCTTCTGGGCAGCTACAGAGTAGACCACCGAGAGACCCGGAAAGGGAGACCCCTTGCATCAAAACAGGATGAAATCAGGTTATTGTTCCTTACCAACTCAGTGGGGTTGCTTTTCTGCCCATTGCTTCAATATCTGGGGTGCCCTGGCACCACAAACCACTGTCTCATCTTCCCAGCCAGGGTATGTTCGGAGGAGGCCAGGGAAAGTCACTTCTCTGCGTTGCCTTGACTCATCTTTTTTGGGGTGCCTGGGTCTTCGTTCCTACTCTTCCAAGGAGAGAGCCGATGCCCTCAGCACTGCTCGGCCTCCACGAAGCCCTCCTTCTCGTGGCCCGAGGGCTCGACCTCTGTGTAGGTGGAGTGGTTGGGGTGGTTGCGGAACTTCATGGCCGGCCAGCGGTGGGGTCTCCGCTGCAGGGGACAGACGCAGAGTCAGCGGGCACGACCTCACCAACTGGGGACACCCCCCCTCAGGGACAGCACTGGGCACCAACACTCTTTTACAAGGGCACTGGGGGCCTCCTGTGAGCCAGGTGAAGGTCAGGGTCCTCCCCCCAAAGGCTCCCCACTGTGACCCCTTGGCCACTGGGAAACCTGCTGGGAGCCCGAGTTTGGAAGGAGGCCGTTTCACCCCTCTCTGCGCGGACTGCAGGACACTAGGCGAAGGCCTCAGCAACACGTGGAGCTGAGCCCTGAGAATGTGGAGAGTGAGGGGGCGGGTAAGAGGCGGAACGATCAGGGAGGCTCCAGGAATGCTGAGCTAACCCTCCAGACAGTACAGCTCCTGCACCAGCGTGGGGGGCCTATGGAAACGCAGCTTCCTGGGTGCGCCTCAGACCTGCCCCGTCAGCATCCCTGTGGCTGGGGGCCCCCATGTGATACCCATGTAGGCTATGACTTTGAATGACTGCTTAGGACTCACAAGAAACAGGGGCTGTCTAAACAGAGACGAGGGAACCACCTAGGCCTCTGGGTAATGAGGTCAGTGGGCTCATGACCGTGTGGAGACTGCGGTCACAGAGGCGCCACCGCTGTGCCACGTGGAGAGTGGTGAGCAGCTGAGAGTGGAGGGCTGGGCCTCCTTCCCAGGCTGCACCTCAGCTGGCTCTTCCGAATTGTGAGACATTCAAAACCGTAGCATCCTCAGTGAAAGCTCCCAGAAAGAGCAACTCCTGGGATTATTATGACTTGTCACTTCTAATCTAGACATCCCAACAGCAGGCAAAGAGGCAGAGACCTCGGTTCCACTGTGGCTTTGAATAGGCACCAGGCCTGGAATTTGGGCGTGAGAGACCATAAATCGTTAGGGATTGCCTACACGGCCACTAAATGGACATGTCTGGCACTTCTTTCTTTCCTCTGGGGGCTCTCTGATTTCACAAACAGGGGAGCAAAAGCAGATGCGCTGTCCAGCGGAACAGGAGGGCTGCTGATGTTCTGAGGCGCAGAGCCCCAGGGGTTAGGACTAAAAGGGCGCCAGCCAGTGTGCCGTGTGCCAGGAGGGAGTCCGTGAAGCTTCCTCAGGTAGGAACATGAGCCAGGCATGTGGGGGTGAGGGATGATTGGGGAGAGGCGGGTGCCGAATGGCCGGGGAAAGGCTGATGCAGAAGCAGACGGCAGAGCTGCGACGGAATTCTACACTGACCTCGAGGAAGAAGAGTGCAGCGTTGGAGGTGGGGTGGCCATTGATGTAAATGCCCGCCAGGATGATGGCCGCCACAAGGAGGACCGCCAGCACGATGCCCACAATGGTGCCCAGGTGCACGGGGGGGCCCTTTGTCTTGGGGGACAGGTTGTCCTGAAGGCCTGTGGAGAGTTGTCAGAGAGTGGCTGCTGGGGAATAAGGGAGGTGGGGCCATGGAGTCCGGGTTCTGACAAAGCCCCAGAGATGAAAGCCAACAGAACCTTCCGGTCTACTCATCAAATATGTGAAAACGTGGGATGGGATGTGGGTGGAATCATCATGAGTATGGCATTAACCCGGTTCTTGGCACGGTTCAGGTGGTTTTCCAAAATCACTTAAAAGTTGCCCAAGCATCTAACAAGGATCGTAAGAGAAGTTCTCTCTGATTATCTGTGCCACATAAGCACGTTTAAGGAATTCACAAAGGGCACGTGATGGTGAAGAGTTTGGCATCTGGAGTCTGGCTGCCTGGGTTCAAAACCAGGCTCTGCCGCTTACTAACTGTGTGACCTTGGGCAAATTATTTAACCTCTCTGGGTCTCAGTTATCACTTCTGCAGGACAAGGATCATAATAATAACTACCTGCTAGGGTTATTGTGAGGGTTAAAATGAGGTAATTCATGTCAGCTGCTGAGGACCATGGCTGACATCCTGGATGACCTCAAAAAGTATCAGCTGTTGCAATAGCAAAATGACCATATTTTTACCTGTCATTGTCCACTACCAGATTGTGACCTCTTAAAGGGCAGGGACAGTGTCTTATTCATCTCTGTGTCCTCAGCTCTTAGAAAAAATGCAGACCCATGGTAGGAGCTCAGTAAAAGAAATGGACTAGGTCCTCTAAGGGCTACTAAGCCAGCAAGCACTCGCTGAGAACATCCCAAGCATTTGAAATGCATCCCAAGGAGCAGACTATTTCCATAGACCACAGAGCTGGAGGCTCACCCAGTCCAACCCCTTCCTCGTGTGGCTGAGGTGACAGACATACAGAGCAGCGGAGGGATCTGCCCAAGGACGCAGTCAGTGTCAGCCACCAAGCAGCCTTGTTCCCTCATATTACCTGGGTGGCTATTTGCTTCCTCTCCCTACCCTAACGGGATGTGGAGATAATGAAGTAGAGATAACAGGTAAGCATGGAAGCAATAGAAATATCACATCCTTTTTACACAGCTAGTGGGTGGGATGGGAGTCAACAGGGGGTGGGGATTTTTAATAGGATGCTGTAAGCATCCAAAATCATTGATCTCCCCATCCCTTCCTCTCTGCAGAGGAAACCCAGGACAGAAACGACCCTGGGCACTCCAGTGCATGGTTAGTGCCTCTATCTGCCAACAGGTCCAGGGGTTGACGTGACACGCCCCAAGCTAGCCTCCCCTGAGCTGGCACTCAGCCCACAGCTTGCAGTGACCCTGAAGATCCAATGGTCAGGGCTTGGGCCGATGAACACATGGTGCAGAGGGAGGGGAAGTAATGGCTCCATCTCTGGTGGGAGACCACATTCAACTGCCTCTCCTCTGCTGCTGGAACCCAGATGACAAGCTCCCAGCCGCTGGAGCTGGAAGGCATTTCCGTCTCCCCCTTGCAGTGGTTGCAGGAGGGCCTGAGCTGGCTCTGGGTACAGGGAGGGGAGGTGGGGCCACCTCACGTCATCAGAGAGATTCTTCTTCCGGATGACCCTGGGGGCAGGAGACCCCACCTCTGGAGCCCCGTAAAAGTTGTGGTGGACAACTTTTGTGTACTCTCTGCCCACTCAGCGTGGGAAACAAAGGAAACCTGACATAAGAGAAACTGCTCTCCACCCCTCAATGACCGTGAGGCCCAAGGGGACAAGAGGCCAATGGCCACAGGCCCCACACTGCCACGCCTGCTCTAGCACAGCCCTTCCCTCCTCCTCTTGCTCCTTTCAGGGCGGTGAATATTCCAGAGCAGAGAGGCCGGGAGAAGAACTGCAGGGCGTTCCTGGCTGAGATGAGAAATGCCCGGAGGTAGACACAAGCTCCTTCCGTCCAGGGGGCCTGCCCAGAAGCCCCTCTGCCTTCCCACCCAGCAGGAGGCCTGGGAAACTCCGGCTGCTGTTGGAATGAAAGCAAAGAGGCCAAGTGATAGCTGCACCCCTCTTCTGGGGGGTCCAAGAGGCAGTGGTCTGATGAAGAGGGGCAGGCAGCTCTGCACTCACCATCTTCTCCTGCATAGGGATTCAACTTGGTGTCATCTTCAAAGAGAAAGGAGAGAAGGCGCAAGATTAGTGGAATCATTATGGCCTTTGTCACTTTAGGTCCAAATGGACTTTAGGGAGATTCAGTCCCATCCTTCATTTTAGAGGCAAGGAAACTGAAGCACAGAGAGGGGAGGTGACTTACTCAAAGTCACACAGCAGTGTAATGATAGAAGGCCATGAACAAGCCAACTTTTCCTAGTCTTACGTTCATTCAGTCAAGAACTCTTTATTGAGTGTTTACTACTACGAGTTTGAGCACCGGGAGTAGGCACTGGGGGTGGACTCAGGAGGTCTCTGCCCTCAGGGAGTTAACATGTGCGGGGGATGGAGAGACAGTTAAAATCCAGCACAATGAAGCTCTAACTTGGGGCCTCACCCAGACAAAGGGAGTCAAGCAAGGATGAGATATGGGGCTGGCAAAAAGGGTTCCAGACAGAGGAAAGAGTGTGGGCAAAGGCCCCGAGTCAGCAAGAACTAGGCCAGTTGAGAAATAAGCAGCAGTTCAGCGGAGCTGGAGGGCGGAGAGGAGGTGAGTGGGGGTTGGTGAGGGTGAGGTTGGGGTGGGGGCACGGCTGTCTGGAAAGCCAAATCGAGGACCCTTCGCGTTCTCCTCAGGGACATGCGGACGCTGAAGGATCTGAGGAGGGTGTGTGTGTCACCAGAGCAGATTTGCCTGGAGGACGGTGTGGAGGACAGATTTCCACGCCGACACTCTCTGCACCTCAAGGTGCATGTCCTGCGGCTTCCTAGATAAGTCCCAGTGGTTGGCCTTCCTGTGGCTCTGCCCCACGGAGTCATATGGGAAAAGGAGAGCAAGAGTTCCAGGTCAGGAGAAGGTTCTAGATGACTGGAGATGGCTGCTTTAAGCACCAAAACTTGAAACAAATCGAACCGTTCCACAACTTATGGCCCCCAGCATGCATTTCGTTTCCCTTCCCGCTCCAGCCCCTCTACAATCCAGGTCATCTTAAAGGCTTTACTGGGTCCCTTTCGTTCACAGATGCTCAAGGCCCTTCACAATTTGTCTCCTGTCTTCTTTCCTCCTGTTACTTGCCACCACTCACCCCTGTGGCAGTGGCCATAACAAGTGGCCCAAGGCTCTCCCGACCTTGGAGATCTCTCAGGCCTCTGAGCAGCTGTACATACCGTTCCTCCTGCAGGGATGCCCTTCCTCTCCTTTACCATCCCTCTTTCAAAAGTCCCACTTCTGAAATGCCCTCTGCAGGGCTGGGCTTAGGGTGACACCAGCGAAACAGGGTCCGATCCTGTCTTTATTTAAAATTTTGATACTTTATTCATCATGGAATTTTGGCATTCATTTTGATTTTTATAAATATTACATTAAAATATTATTTATGATCATTGCTTTTTTCTTTTGGTGTCTTCCTACATTTTATACCTGAGTGGAGTGCCTCATTTGCCTCACCCCGGTCCTGGCCCTGGCCCTGTCACTTCCCAGAGGACAGATGGGTGTGTCTTCCTCTGTGTCCACTTGCATTTGGTACCTGTTTCTGCAGCATCTTGGGTCCCACTGTTCCCCTAGACTGTGAGCCCCCAGCACCCCACCTCTTTCCATTCCCAGTGCCTGGATACGGCACCCTGCTGTGCTGTACATTTCCAATAAACCTTAAAATATAAAAAAAAATCACATCAGATAATGGAAGAATAAACCACAAGAAAATTTGTCAATGGCTCCCTACAGAGGAAAGAGGGAATGGGGAGAGAACTAGAAACTAAACTTCTTTGAATATACCTGCTTTTGTAGATTTGACTCTGGAACCACGTAAACTATCATTTAATTACTACATAACTACAAAAAATTAAATTTAAAAAGCACCCCTAAAAACTGAAAGTAAAACAAGACAAATAGACAGTTGTAGACTTAGAAGGATCTTTCTTTAGGGATTTCGATAAACAGGGGATTTAAATGGAGATCTAGGGGCTGGCCCAGTGGCACAGCGGTTAAGTGTGCATGTTCCACTTTGGTGACCCGGGGTTCGCCAGTTCAGATCCCGGGTGTGGACACGGCACCATTTGGCAAGCCATGCTGTGGCAGTCGTCCCACATAGAAAGTAGAGGAAGATGGGCACGGATGGGAGCTAGGGCCAGTCTTCCTCAGCAAAAAGAGGAGGATTGGTGGCAGTTAGCTCAGGGCTAATCTTCCTCAAAAAAAAAGAAACAACTCTGAGTCTATTTTGTTACTGCAAGAGTTGAAAATAATGAATTGGTTAATTAAAACTGACTAAAGTAACCCTAAATATCATTGGGCAAATTACCTTGATTCCAATCAACTTGTTTTGAATGTAGATCATTGAAATCCATGATAGCCCAGTCCACAACTACCCCTGCAGACAAAAGGACCTCCAGCTGGTCCCTCCCACAAAGCGGCCGAAGGTGACCACACTGTGCCCACAACAGCTTTTCTCTCACTCACCAAAGGCTGGTTCCCAGCTGCCATTTTGTTGGCGGTCCATGGAATGCATATTGGCTCCCTAACTAATGGATTGTGGTGGAGTCCTAGAAAACTCACACAGAAATAAACGAGTGTGAGGTTATTGCGTGAGTGATCGTTTTTCTGTAGTCAGCTGTCACTGCTTGCTGCTATCAATGTGCTCCGCTCAGCTGCTCATCAGATGAGCCCTCCTACTGCACACGGTTATTCCAGGTGTGGGCCTGTCCTTCCTTGTGATAAAACTCATGGGCTTTGTGGTGGAGGCTTGCCACTCCAAGGACATTCTCGGTCACTGAAGGGGGTAGCATTTGATTGCAAGTGAGCAACTCTTAAAATCCAGCCCCCATACCTCCTGGTCCCCCCGGCCCTCTCTGCTCCTCTGCCTGGCTGGTGCCAGGGGGTCCACGCACCCTCCAGCAACCTGCTCCAGCTAACTCTCTGCTCTCTAACCCTGCCCTGCCCAGGCGGGGCCCTTTGGCTGGAGTGCTGTAACCTCTTCGTTCACATCTCCCTGTATGTGAGACAGACTGCGCGGGGTAGACTCCCACCTCTGGACTGGATTTTTAACTTGCTGATGGCAAGGTCTCCTCCTGCTCCTGTTTCATTTAATCCCCCACAGCACCAGCATGATGCTACTTTCAATACCTGTGCCTTAACCAGCTCCTTGTTATTCCCAGGCAACTTCAGAGTGATGGGTGTCATCCGACTCTGCCTCACTTCTCCACTTTTCACTATTTTTCCCTGTCCCCTAAATCCCTGAAGACTTTTTTCTATTTCTTTCAGCACCAAGAAAAGCAGTGGAGTCGAGGGGCAAGATCACTGCTTTTGGAGCTGGATGAGACCTGACTCCACCTCTTCCTGGCTGTGTGACCCTGGGCAAGTCATCGACCTCTCTGAACCTTAGTGTCTCCTCTATAAAATGGGGATAAAAGAGCATCAACATACAGGATTGTTCGAAGGACTAGTGAGTATTAATGCCTGCACAAGGGTAGCACTCTAGCTGGCACATGGTCAGTCCCCCGAAAAGGTTGGCTCTTCCTATCGTTTGTTCACTTTCCTATATAACTTCCCTCTGGCCAGATCCATGAGTTCCTGCTTTAATTCTCTAGGCTGCATTTAGAAGGCAGGGGACGCCATGGAAAGAACATTCTACCCCTTACTCCTCATGTAACCCTGAGTAACCTACCTTGGCCCTATGAGCCCGTTTCTGTATCTAAAAAATGGGATTGTGGCTGAATAATGTTTTAAAATATTAACTTCTGCTCTTCTCCCCTTTCCTCTTTTCCATGTGCCCCTTTCAAGCAGGTATCTGGCTCAGGGGAGGTGATAAAAACCTACGAGTCTCTCAGTTGTAGCCTAAGGGCGAGGGGCTAAAACATGTGATGTATTGAAAAAGGATGAGAGAGAGGAACTTCTCAGAAATAGCCAAAGAATCCTGGCGGGTCTGCACAAGGTTTCCCCAGACACCTCGCAGTGCTTCCCAGTGGATGGACCTCCAGCAGCTTCTTCGAGACACCCAGGCCTCGAGATGGCAGGGAAACCCCTGGGGAGAGTCAGGCCCAAAGAAGCAGGGACGGATCAGCAGCAGCCCAAGATGGACAGAGCTGCCCACTCCGACCTTCTGCCCACACAGGTCACAGCAGCAGGGAGCCAAGCCCCAGGTGGCTGAGGTGGAATTCCACCCCCCGCCCCCCAGCTGAGCGAGGGTCAAGAGCCAGAAGCAAAGTTATAGAAAAATTAGGCACTCTCTCTCTCACGTCTGAGTGTGTGGCCTGAGCTCATGCCTGCTTCACAGATGCTGAGACCTCGCTGGTTCTGTGCGGATTGCTGTTCAGATTAACTGGGATATATTATACAAAATACCTGGCACTGGGCTGGGGCATTAATTTTCCCCCTGGCCACAGTGAATTCTGTCCCACAGCCCTGGCATGGGCCAGCACAATGTTTGGAACCTGGGCGTGGAGTCCACTCACTCAGCCTGGCTCTGCTTCTCAGCAGTATGTGACCCCCAGCTCTCTGAGCCTCAGGTCCCTCATCTGTGAAGGGACGGGGCAATTCCGACTCATCTGTGATAACCCCCATCAGGGATAGCGATGCTCCAGGGTGGCAGCTCTTCCCCCCGTGGCTTCTCTCCCCTCCTCCCCACCCAGGCTCAGGCCTTACCTTCCGTGGTGAGGCTGTCGATGAACAGGGAGGAGGAGGTGGTGGTGAGGTCTCCTTCAAAGGGGCTGAAGGAGCTCTCGGGGGAAGACGAGTAGTGGTCCTCGTCCTGGAAGTCCTCACACGTCCTGCCTTCTGCCTGCAAGAGAGGCCCAGCGCTGCCCTGCACAGAGGCCTCGCCAGTGGGCACGCCACACAGCGAGGAGCCCTCAAACAGGAGGACGGTGGGGGCAGCTTCATCCCTCAGTGGCTGGAACCTTTAGGATTCCGGTGCATGGTGCAAGCATGGTAATCTAACCAAAGCTGGGCCCTGAATGCATTTAAGCCTTCCACTTTATCCTGAAAGCATCTTATCTTACAGGGCAATTTATCTGTCAGCTGCCTCGAATCCTTCCTCAAGGAAGGAGCTGAGATGCCAATCTTAAGTAAACAGAGCAAATCTGTACATTCACCAACAGCCAACGTCAGAAGTGGGCTGCTGGACAAGAGTCTTTTTTTAAGGTCAGAAAAAGACAGCTCACCCAGCCTCACTGATAAAACAGATGGTGGTGAGTGCGTGGCAGTGGGGTCCGGAGGGTTTATGGTTAAATGCTGGCGGTACTGGCCCCCAGCTCTTGGGGCCATGTTGGGATTAAATCAGAGCAAGCAGAGCAGCATGCAGTGACGTCCTGGGCACACGCAATGTGCTTGCACTGCAAGAAGGGATGGAGAGCGGAAGGGAGGGAGAAAGGACGCATGGATGAATGGATCTGTCTGTGTTGGAATAAGGTGTGAAAATAGGATGCACCCCACCCAGAATCAAAGTGTTGAGCATTCTGGAAAATTCCAGCAATGGGAAGGGACCTCTATGGGATTCTACATGGGAGGTGCTTGGAACAACCCTCGTCACTCCCAGAACAACTGCCTCCCTCAAACCCAATGGCTGGAGCAGTGGCAGGCCCTTCATGAACGTCACCAGGTACACAGCCTCCCAGAGGACCCAAGTCCCCAGTGGAAGGGGGAATTTCACCAAGAGCCAAAGACACCTTGAGAAGAGCCAGAAGACCAGCAGCTGGCTGGCAGTCCTACCATATCCACAACCTGGCTCACTTAAGCCTCTCACCTCCTGGGCACAGCCGTAGGTCAGCCACTCCTGGCGGTAGCGGTCAAAGCCACTGGAGCATCTGCAGGGAACCAAAAGGTCAGAGGTGTGATGAGATTGGCAGAGAAGCCCTCCCCTGCACTTCCCCCCATGCAGTAACAGCTCTCTGATGATAGGGAGGAGGGGCTAACCTCCCAGGGCCAGAGGGGTCAGGCTCCCCAAGACCACCAGGCAGGTGCCCTTGACACCAGGCAGCTGAGGGGTCAGGAGTCAGATCCTCCTGTCTCCACTACTCCTTCCCCAGCATCCCCACCCTCCTCCTGACCCAGCTCCCCAGGACCAAAGCCACTTCTGCCCAACGTGTATGTGTAGGGGATTATGGACTGCATGACTGCTAATGGCCTTTAAGGCCCCCTTGACTCTGGGCTGCCATGAAACTGCTGAGAATCCAGGGGATTCACACACATGTTCTCATCTTGCTCATTCACTGAGCCCCCGTCTTGGTGGAGGGGCCTAAACTTGGTAAGGAGAGGCTGGGCCGAAGGTGGACATCAGCAGATTTAGCCAACACCAAGTGATCATTAAAAGGCCAAAATGAGGGTCCTGCCAAGGGCTGGGAGAGATTAAAAACTGGCTGATGAGGGTCACCCAAGAGGACTTTGTGCAGCTCAGACGGCTGGACGGTGCCAAGCACTTCCCTAGGGAAGGGGTGGGGGCATGAGGATGAACCCGAGAATGTTCTCCATGGCATTGCGCTCCCGTTTCCATTCCTCACTCTGGTGCTGGGGGACCCACCAAGCCCTCCTCAGGCGTGCGCACGGACATCTGCACGGGAAGGACATCACGAGCCACCAGTGCTGAGGAAGGACTCGTGGCTAGTTAACTTTCTGCACTGGCAAGTGCCCGCCCACGTGCCCGAGAGCCGGTGAGGCCAAGGGCCAGGGCTTTCCAGGCACTCTCGGTCTTTCTTTCTTTTTTTTTTTTGGAAGATTTTATTTTTTTCCTTTTTCTCCCCAAAGCACGCCCCCCCCCCCCGACCCCGTACATGGTTGTATATTCTTCGTGGTAGTGGCATGTGGGATATTCTTCGTTGTTGTGGCATGTGGGACGCTGCCTCAGCGTGGTTTGATGAGCAGTGCCATGTCCTCACCCAGGATTCGAACCAAAGAAACACTGGGCCACCTGCAGTGGAGCACGTGAACTTAACCACTCGGCCACGGGGCCAGCCCCTCGGTCTTTCTTTCTGAAGATGCTCCCATAGGCTCTGAGCTGCTCCTTCCGTAGCAGGGACGGCTGAACTAAGGCATCCACACTCGGTCCTCCGTGCCCAGTGCTGTGGGGGATGGAGGACTAGGGCCGCTATTGGGGGATGGGAACTAAAGCTTCTTTTAGGCCAAACTAACTGACTCTTTCAAGGATTGAACATTTGACATAGGTCTAAAAGTATCACATTCGAAGCCCTGAGCCAACCAACCCAGATTCAAAGAAGAACACAAAAAATGGCCATTTATCGAGCATCTCCTGAGTGCCAGGTGCTGCCCCAGTCACAGGCTGCTCCTGCACCATCTCGTGGGACCCTCTCATCGACACTGTAAGGCACGGATAATACCCTCATTTCCAGAGCCAAATCCTGGAGTTAAGGTCACCCTTAGACTCCAGAGTGGGCCACTGGGGGGCACTGTGGGATGAAAGGAGGACACCTGCATGGTAAGCGAAATTGTCTAAGTCAGATCCAGCCCCAGCGCAGGGAGAGAGAGCCCTGGGAGGCTGCAGAGGGCAGAGTGGGTGCAGGGGAAGGGGAAGCCAAGATCCCACGTGGCGACTGCAAGCAGCTGTTGGTAGGAGAGACCATGGTGGCCGGCCCCACTGCACCAGGTCTGCCCTCTGGCTTTTTAGGGATCTGGAGTCGGCTCCCAGTTGTAGCTGAGGCTCCAGAGAGCTGGCAAGGAGGGGCCTGTGCTGGGGTGAGCCCAGGCCCACGGGCATCTGGGAAGAGGATTTCCAGCACTGAGTCAGCCTTGCACGCTCTCTGATGGAGCGTCTCTGTCCTAGAGCTGCATAACCATAGTGTCCCACCCGAGGCCCTGCCCTCCCCCTACCTGAGCAACCCTCATTAAACTGTCCCGGTCACTGCGTTTGGGCGTAGGCAGTAAATGGGGGTGTGTCATTGCGAGGGTTTTGCTTCATCTGACCCATTTTACAGTTCTCATGGCTCAACTCTTGTTAGACGCTGAGTCACAAAGTGGCAGCTGTCCCCAGAATTCCAGGGCTCATCCCAGGTCATCTGGATTACCTCCCCACGCTCAGACAGTGGCTCCCAAACTTGAAAGTGTATAGATGGACCATGCAGCAAAGCTCTGCTCCAGGAAGAACCCACCTGGGGTTTACCCTGTGTACACCCCCTGAGGCTCTGTGCCTTTCATGCAAAGCGCCCTGAAGGCTTTGCAGAAATGCTGTTTGGTATTTAAGGAGTTAAATAATGGCACGTTCCTCACTCACAGAACCCCAGTCCATTTTACAGGAAAAACAAACTGAGGCCCCAAGAGAGTGAATAAGAGCACAGCTGGTGGGAAAAACACCTGGGAAGCCTGACTAGGGACCCTGTCTCCTCCTGGCCGAGAGCTGTGCTGCGTCCTGGGTGCTGGGTAGGCCACCTGTAATGGCAACAGCTTCTATTTCTACACCAGGACATTGGAAAGGAGCGAAGGAAACGCCAACAGCTGCATGACAGCTGCATGGAACTCGGAGACTCTGTAATTTGCAATTTTCAAGACTGTCTTAAAGGCTCCTGGAGTTCATAGGGCTCCCCACTCCAATGAGAGCCCTAGTCCCCAAAGAAATTCTTTTTTTTTTCTCCTGCCATTTATTTGTCTTGGACGGGAGAACAGGGCTCGAATTCTGGGTCTAATCTGTGAGGAAGTGATTTCAGAGCAAGGAGTGGAAGATGAGTCGGATTTAAGAACTTTATCCCTGACCCTGAATCTCATCCAGAATTTTCTCTGCTTCCAAAACTAAGCAAACACAGCTTGGGAGCTTCCTCAACTTTCCACAGACGCCTGCCATTTCCACACCCCTGGTTTTCAGGAAACCATTACAGCCTGAGAAAGATCCTTGGATGGTGTTTTGGGGTCATGGGGCTCTTGCCCAATGGCAATGGGTCTTTGGATCATGCCGTCTCTGAGCCGGCAGATCTCACGCTTGTTCGCAGATGCGGCACCGTGTTAACACGCAGGCTCCGGGGCTTCTTTCCCAGAGATCCCCATGCAGGGGGGCCTGGGGTGGGTCCCAGGAATCTGTAGGTTTAACCCAAGCCCTAGCTGATTCTGGAACACTTGCAGCTGTGGATCACTTCTTTGCAAAGCCCCACCCTAGGATGAACCAACCCTTTCCAGGTGAGAGGAGGCAGCTGCAGTAGCTGGAATCTCTGAATGGTCCTCCAGGAGCCCCGGGTCACCACAGGGACCCTGCAGGGAGAAACTCACTTCTGTGACATTCTTGATCTGAGGGTCACTGGCCAGAGAAGCCCTCATGTTGGCCAGGAGGCCCGAGGCTGGGGGTGGGGCTGCACCACTGTCCCCGCCTCCTCCACAGTCTGCCTGAGGGAACCAGAGGGTCAGCCTAGGCACAAACCTCTGGAGGACATGGCACCAGCTGCAGTTGAAGGTCAGGTCCGAGGACATGCAGGCGTCACAGCTCCGATGCTGCAGGCAGGCTGCAAGAGAGAAGCCAGCGGCCCCTCAGCACCAGCTCTCCGCGGGCCTTCAAAAGGTGCAACTTTCCTGAACGCTGGCTCCTTACAGAACTATGGAGTCTCTGCCAGGCGGGCACCCTAGAGGTCATTCATCCACCTTCACTCGAGTCCAGCCTCAATTCCGCCATCTCTCCCTCCCTTCCTTCCTTCTTCTTTCTGTCATCAGGAGGTCAGGCCCTGAGCCGGTGCTGGGGATTCAGCAGTGAGACCTGGTCCCTGCCTTCCTGGGCCTTATAGTCATCTGGGGAGACAGACACTAAACAGATAGTCAAACAAGAATACCTATATAGTATCATTGTGATGAGGTTTCTGAAGGAAAATTACAAGGTCCTAAAAGCATGTACAAAGGGATCTCACCTAGCCTTGGAAGTCATACTTCTGAGCTGTTGCCTACAACTACGGGATTGAGAAGGATTTTTTTTAATTGAGATCTATCTGACATACAACACGGTGTAAGTTTGAGGCGTACAACGTTTTGGTTTGATAAATTTATACTGCAATATGGTTGCCATCTTAGCTAACACTTCTATCACATTACGTAATTATCATTTATTCTCATGGTGGGAACAATTAAAATCTGGTCTCTTAGCAAGTTTAATGTTTATAATACAGTTTTGTTTATAATCACAGAGAAGCATTGTTTAAGATGTTCTGGCTTGACGCCCATCCAGTGCTTGCTGGGAGCACTCACTCCCCACTCCTGACGTTCGGTCCCTGTGGAGGGATGGGTGTCAGAGTCCTGCTCCTAGCCTCCCTCCACCTCCTCACTCGCCTTCTCCCAAGGAAATCTGAGCGCTGAGTTTGGGAAGGTAAACTAGGCGTATATAATTTCATCCTTTCTTGTCCCTCTCCTCTTGGAAATGAGCTACCCCCAAGGGGTGTGCTGACATCTCTGCTCATCTAGGCTTACATCTTCCTTGGGAAGTTACTGAACCTCTTGGTACCTCAGTACCTCACTTGTACTAGAGGGATCATGATGCTATCTGCTTGGTTGACCTGCCATGAGGATGAAGTAAGACCTAGAGGGGCTTTATAATAGAGCCGGCCAAGTGGTAAGCCCAGTAAATGCCTCTTATTGTTATTGACCGTGGTCTTATTCATTCCTCTCAGTGTACCTATCAGGTATTCATTCACTCATTGACCCATCCATTCATTCTTTCAACAAAATGCCCGCCACGGGCCAGGCGCTGACCCAGGTGCTGGAGATACAGCGGTGACCAGGACAGACAGAAGTGCTGCCCGAAAGGAGCCTGCAGTCTAGTGGAGGTGACAACCCACAAAGACACAGACAAATTCGTCTACACTAGGGTTTGCTGAGAGAAGGCTGTGAAAGAAGTAGAACAGAATGACAGCAGGGGGGTGTTCTACTCAGGGAGGTTGAGGAGAGGATGTTTGGGCAGGGGCTGGGAGAAGGGAAGAAGTGAGTCCGGCAGTTCTCCAGGGGGAGGAGAGGTCCAAGCAGAAGGGCCCCTGTGTGTAGAGGCCCAGGAGGACCACATCCCAGGAGTGCTCCCAACAGCAGCCAGAATGCTAACAGGCTGGGCAGAGGGGAGAGGCAGAGGGTGGTAGGAATGAGGAGGAGTGGCAGCTGGAGCCTAGCCTGAGCAGGGCAGGGTCGGAGAACAGAGGAGTCAGTGTGAGCAGGTTGCTGGAGGGTGCGTGGATCCCCGGGGCACCAGCCAGGCAGAGGAGCAGAGAAGGCCAGGGGAGCAGGAGGTATAGGGGCTGGATTTTAAGAGTTGCTCACCTGCAATTGAATGCTACCCACTTCAGTGACCCAGAATGACCTCGGAGGCACAAAACCCATGCCTTTTATTACAAGGAGGGACAGGCCCTTACCCAGAATAACTGTGTAGAGTAGAAGGGCTCATCGGATGAGCAGCTGAGCAGAGCACATTGATAGCAGGAAGAAGTGACAGCTGACTACAGAAAAATGACCACTCATGCATAACCTCACATGCATTTCCTCATGATGTGAGTTGTCTGGGACTCTACCACAATCTATTAGTTAGGGAACCCATATGCATTCCATGGATCCCAAACAAGATGGCAGCTGGGAACCAGCCCTTGGTGAGTGAGAAAAAAGCTGTAGTGGGCACAGTGTGGTCACCTTCAGTCACTTTGTGGGAAGGACTGGCTGTAGATGGCAATGTGTCCTTTTGTCTACTAGGGCTTTACAGGCCCTGGAAGGGTGGATGGAAGCCATCAGCAGAAAACAGGCAGGGACTGGCCTGGCCCGAGAACAAGAGCTCTCTGGATGTTTTGTTCCCTGGTGTATGCAGAGGGCCAAGAACGGGGCCCAGCATGTGGTAGGCACTTAACAAATGCTTATGGATTCGAGGTATAGATGCTTTTGGTATTCCCATTTTACAGAGAAGGAAACTGAGGTTTGGAGAGAGTCACAGAGCTAAGACTGGCAGGTCTGGGTTTGAACTGATGTCTATCTGAGCCAAAAGCCTGAGCTCTTAGCCTCAAGGTCCCACTGTGGGTTCCCCTGCCCCAGCTTCCACCTTCACCCCTGGCCACCTTTTCATGAGTCTCTTCTAGAAGAGGGACCGGCCATGGAGTGCAGAGTGTGACGGCTTGGAGATAGCCCATCCACACCTCAGGAAGAATCTTGGCTAAGTCCTCCCTACCCAAAGGTGGAGGAGAAAGCCTGGGGCTATGGGATGCAGGGTTTTCTGAGGACAAAGCCAAATCACAGCCTTGGGAGCATTGCCCCCTCCCCCACCAGCTGCACCCACATGGGTGCCCCTGGCCTCCCATGAGAAATGGTCACTCTCAGTGACTCTGGAGGCCCCTTAAATGGCTCTAGTCAAACTGAGAAAAAACCCTAGGCACCTTGTGGGGTATTCATAAAACCCGCTGACCTTTATTTCTCATCTGCATTTCAGATGTCCTGCATGCTATTAAACGCTCACAAAATTCACCGGAGGGGTGGGAAGTGGCTTCAATGTACACACAGTGTCCCAGAAACGCATTCCCAGGGCGGTTGGCTTCTTCCGCCTACCCTTGGGCGTCCTTGCTCCTGAAAGCAGTTTTATTCAAGTCCGAGGACTTGAGGTTTGCTCTCCCCAGTCCTTGAGGAATCCCTGGTTCTCAGACCCCAATCTCTCCTGTCTAAAGGGAGGGCGACTGGGGTGAGGGAGGGGCTGTGACCTGCAAGGTGTCGTAGCCCTGTGACCCCCTGGTGTCTGGGTTCTTCCTCTTTTCCAGGGGAGGACACCTGCTGAGCCCCAGCTAAGAGGTGGCCCAGCATCCGAGAAGCACCTTCCTCCTCCTCTTCTTTCTCTACCCCCTGCTCCCAGGACCTACAGGGAATAGGGAGGGAGAGCCAGAGACACAAGAAGGTGTGGAGAAGGCCGTGGTTCCAGAAGGAAGCTGGGAGGCACCATGAGACAGGAGAGGAAATTCAAACAATCTTTTAAAAAGACAAGAATGGGAGTGCGGTCCTCCTTTCCCTCCCTCTCCCAAGCTGCCCTGACCACATCCTGAAGAGCATCGAACCCCATCCTGCGAGGTCCACAGCCGCTGGGGCCTCGGCCATGAGGTGCGTTCAGCTGTAGGTGAGTCGGGTACAAAGGGAGAGGGCTGGGGTCCCTGGTTCCTGAGGGGCTCCTGGGTAAATTCCTCTATTGCCTTCTGCCTGTGGAGTCCAGGATTACCCCTCCCCTAAGGAAAATACAATGAAAACTTTAAGGACCAATTAATTCAGTTCCTGGATTACCTTTCCTGAGGACTCCGTCGAAGTTCTCAGAGGTGCATCTTTCCTGGGTTTCAATTATGTGTCAACAACAATAGCTGTCATCCATCAAGCACAAACCACACCCCAGGCCTGGGCTGTGCCAGTTAGCATCGGAGCTGCCTCTTACATCCTCAATTCCACCTACTGTGGTTCTAACCCTTCCCACAGCTCTGAGAGGGAGGTGGTGTCAGGCCCATGTGACAAGTGAGAAATGGAGACCCAGAGAAGTGAGGTGGCCATATCTACACAGGCGTCAGTGGTGGGCCTGAGAATGGAACCCAGTCTGTTTGACTCTAAAGCTCTTTCCAGGACAGTGGAATGCCCTCACACACTGGCAATGACCCCTACTCACTTGGCAATGGCGTGAACTCCACGGCCGACATGCTGGTGATTTTGGTGGGGTCCAGCTCCACACGGTGGTATTCGAAGATGGTCCTTCGCCGAGATTCTGAAACAGAGGCAGAGCCTGTCGCCAGGAGCATCTCACGGCCAGCGCAATCCGACACCTGTACCTGGAGCCTGACAGGTGGGCAAGAGACTGTAGCCAGTGGAACAGGGAGTCAGTAGGCAGCCACCGAGGGCGGGAAGTAAACTCTCAACCCGGGACAGTGATGCTGAGCCACAGGGAGACCGGCGGACGGAGCTGACCTTGAGAGGAGAGCTTCATATCACAAGCAGGTTCAACTACTCGGTGCAGAGGCCTGGCTGCTCCTGACATAGGGGATCCCATGCTTCTGCATGCCTCTGTGCCTTCACAGCTGCTGTTCCCTTGACCCTTCCATCCCTTCTCTCCTTGTCTAGCTCATGGCTCCAGATTCAGCTCAAGAGCCACTTCCTCTGAGCAGCCCCCCTGGACCAGCTCCCTCCTCTTCCCCACGTAGTCATTAGGGTCTATCTGGAGGACGGGGAGCACTAGACTGTGAGCATCCGGTCCTGAACCTGACCCCAGTGAGCACTCTGCCAATATCTGCAGATGGACAGGCTGACCTTGGAGCACCTCTCGCCTCCTGGATGGAGGCCACAGCGAGGTTCAGGGTCTGGAGCCAGGCTTACATCCCACCTCGGTCCCTGCAGAAACTTTCAGACTCACTGGATAACCTTAGGGCCCCAGTTTCTTGTCTGTGATGTGGAAAGACAGAAACACCTACCACAACACCCTTGGGAGGAAAAAACTGTAATTATAGATGAAAAGACTTTTAGACTTTTTCTAAAATGGCAATCTGAGATGCTCTGATATCTCCCACCACGTCCCCAGCCCCACCCAAGAACCACGACTCGGGTGGGAGGAGAGGTCCAGGTCGTCCTGCAGGGTGCTCCCCAGGTCAGCCCGGCCCAGGTGTGGGCTTTACGAGCCATGAGGTGGGCCACCACTTTGGAGACTCACATAAATCATGTTGAGAGCTGCATCAGCAAGTTGTCCTGCCATTCATTTCACAAGTGGGGAAACTGAGGCCCAGACAGATTAACCCACGAACTGATAAAACTTTGTATAACACTTTACAATTTACCAAGCCTATCCACAGCCTTCAATGGAAAACATCTATTTAAATGAGAAAACTCATACAAAAGCACACACCACCAGGCACCCTATTCATTCACTCATTCAACACAGAGGTCCGGGCACCTGCTACGTCCAGGGGCTGCGCTAAGTCCCGAGCACTCAGTGACATGCAAGAGAGACCTGGCCCTGACCCCACGGGGCCCACATCATTGGAGGTTACCAGGATATGACTCCTCCCACAACTCTCTCAGGGACACGGACAGACATCGCTGTTCCCCCCACTTCACAAAGGAGGAAAGTGACATCAAAGAGGTGACATTATTTGCCCAAAGGCACACAGCCTTTCTTTTTTTTGCAGAGGCTAGACTTAAAACTCAGGCCTCGAAGCCAGTGCAGCTCCCAAGGTCACCAAAGCTGTGTAGAAAAATGTGTAACAACTGGCTCCTGGCAGGGGACGGGCAGGAGGAGTCCGGACTTGTCGCATTTGCTGAGTTCCACGGTGTAAATACTTCCCCGTGGCTGATTTCAAGCTACCAGTTTGGAGTCACTGAGCATGGAATCGGGCAGAGATGTGGTCAGTCTGCTCTCGTGAATCAGTGTCAGCGCTCCAGCACACTACTGCATATGGTTTCTTTATTTGTGTTTCTAAAAGAGTTAAAGGGAAACATTCACAACTTCCTTAAAAATAAATAATTAAGCCAACATCCCAAAGATTGAGTAATGGTGTGTTTATTTTTCTCCTAAACAACCCTAAGTCTGAGAGAGGAGAGGTCCAGGAGGGAAACCTCATAAATATTAGGCAGTAACTACCAGCTGTCTACAGGGTGACCAAGGTCCTGGGGAGGACAGAGCCCTCCCTCCAAAGCCGGGGGACAGAGGTCCAAAGAGCCCTTTGTGAGCGTGTGCACATCCACACAGACACACACACACACACATCCACACACACACAGACACACAGACACAGACACACATCCACACAGACACACACACACATCCACACACAAACAGATTATTTTGATACAAGAAAGGCCCCTTGTCAAGCAAGTGTGGGGTCTGAGAGATTGCCATGAGGAAGGGCACCTTTCTATAATTCATCTGCCCACAGGAGGCACCAATTTTCAATTCACACGAAGGCCCATATGTGCTGCAGGGCCCTCCCTGTGTGACACCAACTGCCGTATAAAGATGGCCTGGGCTTTGAGTGAGCCTGGGGCATGCAGGACATCTAGGTGGAGGATGGGGAAGTTCTAGGCAGACTTTCACAGCTCCATCCCATCCACTACCCATCTCTCCTCCTGAAAAATCACCCTTTTAGCACCAAAATATAATAGGATAAAAAATAAATGTGAAACTCCAGGTCGCCCAAGGTCCTGAGGCTGTGGGGTCTAGAGTTGACGGAAACTTTTCTTCCTCTATCTGCCTCATCCTTCACGCTCAGCTCGAATGACACACCCTCCTTGAAGGCCTCCCCACCCTTGGGTGCAGTTAGTGGCCCTCCTCTGAGCTCCACAACCCCTTGTGCAATGTCCAGTGTCACCTGTTACACTGCTTGGTCAATATTTACTTGGCTGGCCCCCCACCCCACCAAGCTGCAAGCGCCCCAAGGGCAGAGCCTGCAAGTTGTTTGTCTCTGTACTGTAGCCCCTAGCCCCCGGCCCTGCACTTAACACGGCCTCAAGAAACGACTGTGAACGAATGAATGGGTTACAGATAGTCATGAAAACCTCAGCAACTTATTATAACTTCAGCCTACAGCCCAAAGGAAGAACGTCCTTCCTCCCCAGCCGACCACAGATTACGGCCTTTCTCAAAAGGGCAGCCCCCAGTGGGCCACAGAAAGCTAGACATGCCCCTTCCTAAGTTAGAGCTTAAAGTAGGAGGAGAGATGGCTTCTAGGTTTCCCCCACCTTCAAGGATGTTGGGGAGAACTCACCCTCCGTCAGAAGGAAGAGAAATGGGAGGGACAGAGAGAGTCAGGGTCAGGGCACAAATGGAGACACGGACTTGTCAAGGGAGCAGATTTCAGGGATAGAGACACCAAATGGCAGCCAGGGAAGGCGGGGCTCCCAGCAAACATCACACCAGAATCTAGGGAGGGGTCTCCCCACCAGCCAGGCTGGGGAACAGAGTTGGGGCTGTGCCTCAAGTAAGGGTGCAGCCGGAGATGCTCAAACGTGTGCCACAACCCAGCACAGCCCTATCAGCCGGGCGGGGAGATGAGCGTGGTAGGAAGGCGGATGAGGGTGGTGTGCGGAAATCTATCTCTGATTAAAAATATTTGCTCACTTCAACTGCCAACTTGTACTTGTTTGAGTGTGTGGCTTTGGTAATATTTTTATTTCTCTATCAACAGAACCTTTAATATCCCCGCCTGAGTTATTTGCTTTTGGATTATCTCGCCAACATCTGGGCTCGCCCAAGGACGATGACGTCCATCGTATGACCAGCAGATCCCTTCCGGAACCAGGACGGAGGCCACCCCAAAGCCACATTTCTGACACTTTGAGATGTTCCGTTTTATCTCTGCTTCCGATCATCAAAGATTCAGAACTACTGAGGTCCATACATGGAAAGCTCTGGCGCCCAATCAAGAAATGTTAATGGCTCAAAAGAGACGTTTACACGTCCTGTTTTGTTTCAGCACCAGACACCAGTGGGAGAGAGTTTGATCGGTCAGAAGAAATCAGACAGACAGACTCTGCCACAAACCTCCCTCCAAAACAGATGATTATGATACAAAAAATATAAGACGCTCGTTCGGAAAAAGTTGTCATTCACTCACTCATGTAGTCCTTTGCTCATTTGGTTATTCGTTCAATAACCATGCATCACACCCCACAGGGGACCCCAGAGATAAACACAATGAGGGGCCTGTATCTCAAGGGGCTTTCAGCCCAGGAGGGGAGGCAGGAGATTCCTCCTCAGCACCGAAGCCAAGTAGGAAAGGGGCTGAGACAGAAGAAGAGGCAAGCAATGGGAAGACTCAGCGAGCAGAGGAGAGAGAAAAAGAGAAGAGAGGAGTGAAAAGAGGGGAGGAGGGCCCCTGATGGATAAAAAGCTCTGATGAAGCTTGTACAGGAGGCTTTATCAGGAGAGGCAGGAAGACAAAATGGGCCAGATCTGGAGACGATACACTGCCCCACTCCACGCCCTCACTTGGCTCATCTTTCCCACCCCCCTGCAGCCAGATCCAGGGCCTCCCATCTCCCTCACCCAGCAGTCCAGCACAAAGGTACAAGCCTCTGACACATTTCTGGACTCAAGTCTGCCTTTGAGGGGAAAGGAAAGTTCTGGTAAAGGAGAAGGCCCACGTGTTAGGATCATCCGAGGCCATTCTGGGGCCAGCCAAGGGGCAAGCTACAATTTGGAGCCTTTTATAATGAAAACCTCATTAATTGATTCCACTAATTCAGAATCTGTTGATTTTGATGTTGGCTACACTGAAGTTGCTTTTAAACAAATGAGTAGAGGAAATTATATTGACTTCTGGGGGCCCCTCCAGCCAAATAAACAGTACATAACCCACCCTATAAGTTTTGTGTGCCTCTGCAAAAAGATGCTAGTTGCACATGAATCTTTTCTCTGCATCAAAGCACACTCTGCAGACTCTCTGCTCCAAAGCCTGTGTAGCAGTTTATACAAGGAACTGATGGTAAGAAAAACTCTGGCTGTTTTCAGTATTTCCTTCCCTCAACCCCAGGGGTGAGATTGTGCAGAATTCCCTCCACGCATCAAGCAGGGATGAGAGGAGACTGTTTGGACCCTGGTCGAGGAGACAGTGCCCCAGACAGGGTTCAGTGGCTGGGTGATTCTTTTTTTTTTCTTTTTTTGAGGAAGATTAGCCCTGAGCTAACATTTGCCACCAATTCTCCTCTTTTTGCTGAGGAAGGCTGGCCCTGAGCTAACATCCGTGCCCACCTTCCTCCACTTTATATGTGGGATGCCTACCATAGCATGATTTGTCAAGCGGTGCCATGTCGGCACCCGGGATCCGAACTGACGAACCCTAGGCCTCCGAGGCAAAACGTGCGCACTTAACCACTGCGCCACCAGGCCAGCCTCTGGGTGATTTCTGAATAGCGGGGAGCCAGACTCCACTCCTCACAGTGCCCCAGGCAGGGAAGAGCCAAGCTTGAGGACAAGGACAGTGACACCATTCATTCTATAGGACCAGGTGGGCTTGGACAATGGGACTATCCCTGGTAAGAATAGGGTCTGCAGACCAGAGGGCTCTCCCTAAACTTCTGTCTCATTTAAGCTCTGGTTATTCGGGACTTACTGTTATTTGCAGCTCAACCTAATCCAGACTAATTCTCTACTTCTTGGGTTGAATATCAGACCCAGAGGAATCTGACCTCTTAGCCACATAAAAGCCATCACTCCCCAAAGTGGAGATCACAGCCCATTTTAAAACCCAATGAAGGCCACGGGTACTGTCCCAGAAAAATATATGCATGGGCATATGCTCCACTCGCATCTCAATATTCCTTCCAAGTCTATGCCTGGAGCCCCAAGCTAAAGGCCTCTGACAAAAAGAGATGCAATTACCAAAGCACTCACCCCAGACTCAAGTGGTGTCAGGCCCTGTTCTCACTTAGGGTCACCATGGAGTGGAGGACAGGGTCTCTGCCACACCTACTCTCTTCAGCGACACTCACTTGCACTGTTACTCATTTTTTGGGGGCACCTGCCCTGCCACAGGCCCTGGGCTAGGTGCTGGGGCCACAGTGAGCTCCCAAGGAGCGCAAAGCTAGTTGGGGACAAGGAGGATGAGCAGGGCAGTGTGATGACAAAGTGCTAAGGGGACAGAGGAGGAAACCACGAATCCTGCTGCATGGAGCTAGAGCAATGGGTGAGTAGAATTTTGCCAAGGGGTGAAAGGGCTGGGGTGTGGGGCATTTTATACGAGGAACTGTGTCACGGAGATGCAGACAGCCCTTGACATGTTTGGGGGACACAGGGCATGCAGACCAGTGCTGCCCAGACAGAGAGGGTTTGGAGGGGAGCCTATAAAGGTAGGGTGTGCCCAGCTGCAAAGGGCCTTGAATGCCACACTAAGGATTTTGACTTAATGCTATAGGCAACAAGGAGCCAGAGAGTGATATGATCAGATTTGTCTGGCAGTGACAAGAAGGAATAGGGGACAGAGGGAAGGGAGACTGGAGGCTGGAGCTGCCGGGCGGCTTTCACCTGGCCTGTGGACCTAACACCTCAGCAAACAGCACCTGGAGTCACGGAATCCGGAGGCTCCGCAGGCAGAGCGCTTGCGTCTCCGGGCCTCACAGAACAGGCGCAGCTTCCCTCCTGTTATTTCAGGCGGACTGTGCTTCCCCCACCCCTCTTTACCCCGCCTCCCTGCTCCATGGCTAAAACAGCCTTTCATTCCAGAATCACAGAGGAGCCTCAGATGCAGACCCTCCCCAGGGAACTGACTTCCTCTAATTCGCCCTCATTCAACAGCTGGATCCAAAACACATTTCCTGAGACTCTGCCGTGCACAAAGCCGTGTGAGGGAGGCACAGACGAAACAAAGACCCTGCTCCTGACGGTTCTGTAATGCACGGGGAAGGGTGGAGTATGGACACCAAGAACTGTTCTTCCTGCAAAACAGCCTGCGGTGGGTGTACATATGGTGGGGGGCGTTTGGGGAACTGAGGAGGAAAGGATTCACCCCTCTGGGTGGGGTGGGGGTGGGTCAGATGTAGAGTCTCAATGGCGGATCCCGGGGTTTAAAAAAAACATAAGATCTGGGTTTCAGTTCTCCCCTTCGTAGCTGGGTGACCACAAGCAAGTCACTCCACCTCTCTGAGCCTCTGTGTGCTCGTTTAGAAAGGGACAAAGGTACAGACTTCACTTACAATGTTGGGAGGAGGATCCAGTAAGATACTGTAAAGCTCAGCGCCTGGGGACAGGATTATAGTCATGGTGGGAGGCAGCCTCTAAAATGGCCCCCAGGGATCTCTGCCTCCTGGCATTCACACCTGTGCAATCCTGTCCTGAGCACCGGCTGGACCTAGTGACTTGCTTCCAACCAGCAGAATATGGCAAAAGTGACGGGATGGCCCTTCTAAAATCAGGTTATGAAAAGACTCTGGTTTCCATCTTGCTCATCTTCCACTGCTGCCCTCCTTGCCTGCTCTGATGGATGGTGCTGCCATGCTGCGAGCTGTCCTGTGGGGAGGTCCACAGGGCAGGAACTGAGGGGGGAACTGAACCCTGCCAACAACCACACGAGAGCTCTTGGAAGTAGACCCCCCATCAATCGTTGAGATGACTGTAATGGCGGCAAACAGCTTGAGAGCAGCCTGTGAAAGACCCTGAACCAGAGGACCCAGCTAAGTCATGCTTTGCTTCCTGATCCACAGAAACTCTGAGATAATGTGTTTGTTGCTTTAAGCTGCTAAGTTTCAGGGTAATTTGTTATGCAGCAGTAGCTAACTAATACAATTAGGATGATACTGAGACTATCTGGCAACCAGCTCAGTACAGGCGTGAACCAACGACTTAGAGCAGACGCCGACTGCAGCCGTGGGGCCGGATCTTGGAGGTCCCTGCTCAGCCCCTCACTAGAGCACTGGGAGTTCAGGGGGGCGGTCAGGGGAGGGGCAGGTGAAGTGGCGGGAATTTATCTGATGGAAATACTCACTCTGAGGCATAAAAGTACCTACCTGCAAGAAGATTCACTGCAGCCTTATTTGTTGTAGCAAAAGGTTGGAAACAACTGAGAAGCCTGCGCCCAGGGACTGGTTAATTTAAGGCACATCCATGCAATGGGCTATCATGCAGCCACTACACAGAATGAGATGTGTGCTGACGTGGAATGATGGGCAGGATATACTTCGTTCAGGAGCAGAACAGAGGACAGACAGCATATGCCATCATTTGTGTTAAATACACGTATACATACTTCCCTGAAGGCTTGTAGCTCTAGAAATAGCCTAGCAGGCCAGGTTGCCTCCTGGAAGTGAAACTGGGGGATGCAGGTTGGGGGGATGGGAGAGAAACGGGATTTTCCTGTCTCCTGAAACCCCCTGTGACGCTCCTTCCATCACCCGGGTGGGGGGCATTAGGGTTGTGTTCTGGGAGGACCCATAAACCCTACTTCAGTGTCTTTGGAGATTTTCTAAAGGGGGGTGGTGCTGAGTGGAAGGGCGCTGGCTCCCTTTCCTCTTAACACTAAGAATGGTGCCTCCCATGGGGGATTTTAGTGGGAAAAATGGTTCCTCTGCTTTAACAGAGAAAGATGGAAACTCACCATGCCCTCTTTCTCCCCTTAGTTCCCACTCGACTCTCGCCATCCATCCACTCCCCACCAGCCTGCCCAGTGTGAGTTGAGTCCAACCCAGTCCCCGTCTCCGCTGGATCCCTGGGGACTCACCTGGTACTTCTGGGGATGGATTGAGAACCATGAAGGCGTCTGACAGGCCTGCCTTGACGGGGTGCTGGGAGGAGCTGATTTCCAGGACTGACATAGGGATCTGCAGCAGGGAGAAGAGGCTCCATTACCCCCCAAACCCTCGTGGGCCAACCTAGACCTCCCTCTGAGCCCCAGACCCACCTGCCTGCTTGGCGTTGCCTCTTGGAGGACTCCAAGACATCTCAAACCCAATGGGCCCCCACCCAAATTCCAAGTCTTCCCCACACCAGCTCCTTTTCCTTTTCTCCATCTTTGTGAATGGCACCTCCACGCAGGCCAGAAAACTAGGAATCACCCTCGGCCCCTCCCTTTCCTTCATTTCCCCTCCTCCAGCTGATACATCTCCCAATCCTGCTAATTAGCCTGCTAACTGTCTCTCCAGTTCTCTCCATCGCCCTCCATCTACCCGAGGCTGGCATCACCTCTCATAAATTATCTCCCAGCATTTCCTCTGAGCCCCCAACGATCTGTCTCTACTCTGAAGCCACATGGACCTTAGTCAAAGGCAGATCTGCTTGTTCCCCTGCCCCATCTTGCTCCTCCCCCTCCAGCCACACTCTGTCCTGTCTCAGAACCTTTGCTCGTGCATTCCCGGAACACATTTCTCTCTCCTCTTTGCTTCCTTAACTCCTATGCATCCTGCAGATTTCAACTCTGTTTCTCAGGAAACCCTTCCTGGACACCTGCTCGGATAAAGAGCCCCATGAAGGGTTCTCCTGGAACCCAGCTTCTCCACTTCCGAGCACTTGTCACAGTGGCAATTCCACATTTGTTCCTGCAATTTCTGTCTATCTTCCCAACCAGACTCACAGCTCCACAAGGGCAGGGCCCGCAGCCACCTTATTCACGGCTGCACCTCAGCACAAGCCCCAGGCCTGGCACATTGCTTCTCTACAGATATTTGCTGAGTGAAAGAAAGGCCCCAAGACCCAGCCATCTCTGCAGCTGGGCCCCCTCACCTCTTTGTAGCCGAAAACGATGCGGCCGTCACGGTGCAGAGCTGCCTGGAAGGTGAAGCTGCCCCTGTCCTCCCGGCCTTGGAGGTAGACGTGGTCCCACTGGACCACAAACACAGTCCCTGGGGAGAAGAGCAGAGACCTGGCTGAACGGGGAGGTAGTGCAGGGAGCAGGGCCCTGCAGAAATGGTGGCCGGCGTGGAGGGGCCACAGGTCAGGTCCCTTAGGGACGATGGAGGCAGTCTGCAAATTCGACTGGAGGCAGGAGCTGGTAGCCTGGCTTCCAAGCTTGGGAGGAAGCAGAAGACCCTGCTTCAGCCCCCCGGATGCCATGCCTGATCATGTCCTAGCCCAGGCACGACCCTTCCTTCTTGCCTATCCTGACCCCTTGAAAGGAAAAGGAGGAGAAATAGGAGAGATGTCTGTTTCCCTGGGGTGGGGGAGTGGGTGCTCAAGGGACAACCTGTGAGAGTAAGAAACAAGAAAGGTCCCTGGTATTTACTTCACCTCTACTAAGAGCCGAGCACTCTCACTTCGTATCTCATCTGATCTGCTGGGTGGCAGGCATTTTGTCTCCATCTTACAGATGAGGAAACCGAATACAGAAAAGTGTGGTGGCTGCCTTGCTGTGTGACTCTGGGCAAGTTCCTTGCCTTCTCTGGGCCTTGGACTCCTCTACAGGGGCCGGACCAAAGGAGCCCTGGAGCTGGGTGACTTAAACTCTGAAATCTGGTCTCACCATTATCAAAGTAAGCAACTGTGGAATTGTCGGAGTAGCCAGGGTTGAAGTTGGCCATCAGAGGGGCCACGTACTGAGTAGCTGTGAGCATCCGATGGATCACGTCACCCATGAAGATGAAGCCTGGGTGGGGAGAAGTGCAGACGAATCACCAGAGATGGCCCAGAGGGGTTGCTTCCTTGGGCTTTTTTCCCCAAGGGCAGGAAGGAGCGGCGCAGATGGGGCTGGAAGCAAGCTTTGGACCTCTGTCCCCCATCCCTACCTGGTGGACTTTGGGTCTGGCATGTATGGAGCAAAAGGGTCCCAGACCAGAGAAGTTTCTCCCTGTGCCTCCAGGTGGGCACAAACTCCCACCTCTCCCTCTCCCTAGGAAAGTGCGCAGGAATGAAAAATGGGCTCCTCATACCAACAGGGAGCCTGGTCCCAGGAACCAGGCTCTCAGTGCAGTCTCTCCTTCCCTCTCATTCACAGACTCAGAACCACAGGGACACTGGGACTGCCCACGCTGGCCTGAGCCGGCCCAGAGGGAAACACACACATACAAGCAAGTCAGCTGATGTGAGGGAAGTATTCTGACACACCCACTGCCCTGCTTCCTGAGAGTGGAGTTTCAAGAGTGCCAAACGTGGGTCCCTCCCCTGTCCATCTATACCACCCTGTCTCTGGTAAACCTCCCCAGGTAGGTCCCCCAAGTTCTGGCTGAGATCTTCAAACCCTCCCCACTGACACAGCCTTACCTCCGGTTGCTATGGTGATCTGCCGCAGAGGATGCCCGTAGAAAGGGAAATCGAAGGACAAGACCACTCTCTGCAAGGGACGGGGGAGGGTCAGCATGGGCCGAGCTGCAGGCCAGGGGGCTGCCCCATGCTTGTCTGGATGGGGGTGGGGGTCGTGGGGGGAACAGGGATGTCCATGGCGGGCCCCCAGGACCACAGGTGAGCACCCTAACTCTGGCAAAGCTCCCGGGATCCCCTGGAAGGCAGCTCCCAGGCCACAGACCTCAGGCCACAGCCATGCCCACTTAGCAGGTGGGGTGGGCCGGCCCCCAGCCTCCCAGCCTAGGGCAGCACTGCCGGGGACCGGGGCATTCACCGAAGCCTGCCGGGGACCGGGGCACTCACCGAAGCCTGCCGGGGACCGGGGCACTCACCGAAGCCTGCCGGGGACCGGGGCACTCACCGAAGCCTGCCGGTGGGTGTTGGAGAGGATTCTGTGGGCCTTCACTTGGCTCCGGTTGGCCTCAGCCACGTCCACCCACAGCTCCCGGCTGCGGGGCTCACTGGGGCCGTACAGACGGGACACATAGTAGCTGTGGTTGTCCTCCTGCCACCATCCAAGACAGACCCCACAGGAGGCATGAGGAGTCCGGCATGCCAGGAACCACCTGCCCCTCCCCAACCCAGACTTCTGGATACAAGAAGTCATCGCCCTCCCAGGGTGCTGGACTTGTGCCCCAGAGGGCTGGTGCAGGCTTGGGAGCCCATGGGCTCTCCTCGGCCCCAGACAGCTCAGTACTAGGCCCCTAGCTCTAGCAGCTCTGGCCCCAGCAAAATCCACCCTGCTGTACCCATGCTCAGCCCTGCCATTCCCAGATGGGTCAGGAGGCTTGTCCTGAGTTTCTGCGGAGCACACCCAAGGCAGAGCTCGGACTGAGGGGTCACAAACAGAGCCCTTGTCTTCAGGGAGCTCCCAGACTGGGGGAGAGACACAGTCCCCACCCTGGGAGTACGCTGTTTAAGGGAGAATTAAAAACTGGATCGTAGAAGCCACCAGTCTAAAGATGGAGGCAGACCCTGATCTTGGGGAGTTGCTAGTCTGATGGAGGAGGTGGGACTTATGCAAACAGACCTCACACAGAGAGATAAAGCAGGGCCATACTACAGTCGCTGGAGTGTTGAGAAAGGGGAGAAGAGCAGCCAGGATTCCTTCAGGACATATTTCTAACCTCTACTCTGTGTCCCATGGGGATAAAACAAAAAAGCCAGAATGCGGAGGGCTGGGAGTTAATTCTGTAAAGCCTCTCCTGCTTCAGGAGCATTTAGGGCCAGGATTGAAAGGAGGCCGGGAAATGGCTGGCAGAAAGGGCGGAAGAGCCAGGGGAGGAGGCGATGTCACAGCATCTCAGCCCACCCGGGCGCGCCAGCCGCGGGAGGAAGGGAGGCAGAACGGGCAGGTTGGCTTGGCCGCTGCGCGGAGACGGGGTTGCTGACCCTCGAGGAGCCCCGGGCGTCGTGGGTCATGAACCAGGCTGTCCAGCGGCAGTAGCAGCAGACACAGCAGAGCAGACCATGTTCTCCCTGCCAACCTGCCAGCTGCCCAGCCAGCCCTTGCCCTGGACCCAGCATGAGCAGGGACGAGGGATGCCCGCTCTCCCCACCCGCCAGGAGGCAGAGTCTGCTCTTCTGACAAGTGACGCACTCTGGGGACCCGGGGTCGGCGCAGGGCTGGGGGAAGATGAGCAGAAAGAAACATGGCGGGGGTGTGGGGCTGGTGGAGATTTCCCACTGCCACTGCCTGTCCTCCCCTCCAGCCTCCAGACTCCTGCCCCTCCACCCAGCCCCAGTATGGCTAGCCGTCAACAAATCTAAAACATGTGCGAGGTCGCATCACTCCGCTCACGAGCCATCTGGGGCTCCCACTGCCCTCGAGATGAAACCCAAACCTCAGCCTGATATGCAAGGTCTCACCATGAGTCAGTTCCGCCTTCTCTTTAGCTTCTCTTCTCTGGTTCCCCTGTGTACCCTTGTGCACCCACTCACCAGACCAGGCCACTAGTGGTCACTCATGCCTCTGCACATGCTGGTCCACCTGCCAGAAATGACCTTCCTGGCCTTCTCCCCCTGGCAGATTCCTACTCCTTCAATGCTCAGTTTATCCCCCTACTTGCCCAGTGAAGATCCCCACCCCTTGCAAACAGCCCCCGCCATCCATGGAAGTCCTCAAGGATTGCTGGGAGCCACCAGAAGCTAGAAGGAGGCAAGGAAGGATTCTTCCCTAGAGCCTTTAGAGGAGCACGGCCATGGTGACACCTTGCTTTGGGACTTCTAGCCTCTAGAACTGTGAGAGAAGAAATTTCTGTTGTTTCAAGGCACCTAGTTCATGGTAATCTGTTATGGCAGCCCCAGGGAGCCAGTACACACGCCCACAGGTGTGTGTTGCTGTGGCTCAAGTGAGGCAACTCTGAGTTGTTCCCCATTCCTTGTCACCACCCTGCACAGAGCATTCTGTGGCTCCCCAGCTCACGTAGAATAAAGGTCACACTCCTTACTATGACCTACAAGGCCCTGTGGGGCAGATTCTGGACATGTCTATCCAACATCCATTTCCCCCTCTTCTTTATTAACAGAACATTGATTTTGTAGCAAGTAGCAAGGTAGCCAGCTGAAAAACCTCATTCCTTGGATGTCTTAAGGGGTACCACACAGGCTGGCCAATGAGATAAACTGAAGGTTCTACTGGTGCCTTTTGAAAGAGGTCAGATTTGACTGCTGGTCCTTCTTACCTTTCCTCTTCTCCTTATTCCTGTCTGGAATGTAGATATGATGGCTGGAGCTCCAACAGCCATCTTGTGAGGATAAGGACAAGAGTCACACCCTAAAGATGGTGGAGTGGAGAGTTGGACAGAATCTGGGTCCCTGATGACACCCTGGAGGGATGTTCATTAAGTCCCTGGATTCAGCCCTCTGTTACACACAGGCACAAATCCTTCCTGATGCATGGTAGTCTGGCTCTGTGCTCCAGCCCTACTGAGTTTCTTTCAGTTCCTGAAATCACCAGTGCTTGTCTGCCTCAGGACATTGGTACCTCCTATGCCTGAAAACCTCTTTCTCACTCCATCCAGAAGCCGAGTTCTCCTCGTCCTTCAGGCCTCAGCTCAGCAGTCACTTCCTCAGGAATGCCTCCCTGATGCCCCCATTCACTCTCATTACACCTCGGGCTTCTTCTCAACGGGTTGCTCACTTGTGATGATTCCCTTGGCTTTCAGACTTGTCATCTCCACACCTGCCTTTCCTGTAAGACCGTAAGTTCCTCATAGGTGAGGTCAGCCTTTACCTATGGTGTTTAAGCGCAGAGTGTGTGCTCAGCTGGAGGACGTGTTGATGAGTGAATGACCACAAAGCACAGTATGTGGAAGGCCTGCGCATCCTCTGCCTGTTTTATTGCTACCACATGCACCCTGGTGACCAGGACGGGATGGTGTTACCAAACACAGCAGGACGGTCGCAGACAGTGAGCAGGTGCACTCAGGTACGGTGGGAGCCAACTGAATACTGCCACCCAGGAGCCTGAGCAGCCTGTGTTTAAAAGAGCTGCTTGCAGGTTTGGAGGAGAGTCTGGTTCCCATCACCTGCTTCCCAGGACTCGCCTGGTGAGAGTTTCACAAACCTCCAAGCGTCAGAAATGAGAGCCGTGGACGGAAGCCACGCTCTGCAGTCGTGCAGCCCAAGCGGACGCTCACCTGTCTCCTGCTGCCTCGCCCAAGAGGCAGAGGGTGGGGGACCTGGGGACGCGTCTCACCAGCCCATTGCTTTGAGTCTTCTGCTCCCCATGAAGGACAAACGGTCCACAGCCCCAGCTCATGCTGCTCTACTGACAAGCCAGGCCATGTGCCATTGGGGGGGTCCTGGGACAGAATAGTTTCCAAGGAGCCCTCCAACGGCACCTCTTAACTGACATGAAGTTGTCATCTCTGCTGACTCAAGGAGAGTCAGAAATTAAAGGAGCTGCTGCCTCCAACTCGCAGCCGAAGTTCTCTCCAACAAGTCAGCAGAACCCTGGGAGAGCGAGGGCATCCACACCTGCAGTCCCTGCTCGGGCCAGGGGGTCAGGCCGACGCCCTGCTTCAGGCATCAAAAGTGCCAAGTGCAGCTGGCCTGCCCGGGGAAGGACTGCCCCAGGGGCAGTGCCATGCGGAATCTGCCACAAGTCCAAACAGGCCCCAGGGGAGCAGCTGTCCTGGTGACTTTGATTACCTCCAGGACAGTGAAGCCGGGGCTGTATCTCTTCAGAGCTCCAGGCTTGGAGGCTCCGTGGTGATCAGTGAGGCCAAACTGCAGCCAGAGAGGAGGGGACGACTTCCCAGAACGAAGTCGGTGGTGAGGGCGGGATTGAGAGACGGGGAGGAAGGAGATGGGAAGCCAGCATTTGCAGAGCTGTGACAGATGTGCTGGGCATTTCAAATGTGTCACTGCATGACAACCCTGGGACGTGAGGACTCAAATTAGTCCCATTTTATAAGTGGGGAAACTGAAGCCCACATAACCATTTGAAACCAGGTCACTCTCATTCAAAGACAATGACTTTTCCTCTGTCCACTGTTTCTCAGGTTTTAAGTAACTGCCCCCCTGGAAGGCAACTTGGACCACTTATCAGTCACTGGTTAAAATCTCTCACATCTCGGGGGCCGGCCCCGTGGCCGGGTGATTAAGTTTGCACGCTCTGCTTCGGCGGCCCAGGGTTTCGCTGGTTCGGATCCTGGGTGCAGACATAGCACTGCTCATCAAGCCATGCTGAGGCGGCATCCCACATGCCCCAACTAGAAGAACCCACAGCTAAAAATATACAACTACATACCGGGGGCTTTGGGGAGAAAAAGGAAAAATAAAATCTTTAAAATCTCTCCCATCAGAAGAAGCAGTGTGGATCCTTTATGGAGCACAGAGCTCAGAGGTTGTGTCACGTGCATTTCCTCACCCCTAGCACCTACCTAGCACAGGGCTTGGCACCTGGCATATGGTGAGTGTTAGGGATCCACTTGCTAAATGAGTTCAAGCACCAGGATCCCACAGCCGATGGTGCCGGAGGCTGTGCTGAGAATGTGCAGTGTGGCTTTGACAAGGACAGCATCCTCTCCCATCGCTGATGGCAGTGACACAAAAACCACTCGTGAAGGGACTAGCTGCCTCCTCTGGGAATCTCAGGCCATGGAAAGCAATCTCATAGCTGGGACATCCCGCACACAGGAAGGCGTCTCCTGATTCCTCAGGCTCTTCCCTGAGGAAGTGAAACTAGCAAGGAAGATGCTTTCAGGGCAAGGAAGAGAAACCCTGGCTCCTCCCGGCTTAAACACAGAGGAAATGTATTAGACCAAGGGACTGAGAGTCCAATAGGGCAGCAAGTGTGGAACATGGGTGACTGATGTCATCAGGGCATTGTCCTAAGTGTGACTGCTGGTCCATAGAAGGAAGGAAGATCTTACATGCATCTGGCTTCAAGAAATATATGCTGGACAGTGACAAAGAGACAAGAATTGAGGTGGGCCCGGAGAGACAGAGAAAGCAGCCCTGGTTCCCAACAGCTTTCAGGGTCCCTGAGGTCAGGCT